ATTTTACCTCTGAACTCGAAGTTCATTACATTCATTTTACCTCTGAATTCGAAGTTCATTACATTCATTTTACCTCTGAACTCGAAGTTCATTACCTTCATTTTACCTCTGAACTCGAAGTTCATTACGTTCATTTTACCTCCGAACTCAAGGTTCATTACATTCTTTTTATTTTTTGAAGTCGAAGTCCGGCCTTCACTTCAACCACAACCATAGCCTTAACGTATTACGTTTTAATGTTTGTTAACAGGAACTACGAGCTCACGCACCCATACAAACATTGAAATATAACACGTTTTCTTTTCATTAATTGTGCTAAAAACAGTATATTATCATTACACAAAAAAAAAAGAGAGAGAAAAGAGGGGAATAGGCCGAAGTCAGTCGATCACCACACGCTGCTGATCCACCTCTTGTTCAGCCGCATTCTCTCCGACCTCGGCAGTTGCAGGAGCCTCGGTCTCTTCGTCCATGGCGACGAACTCGTACTCGAGACGTGGGGGGAGCACAGTTCTTCCAGCCTCGTCCCGCTTCCAGCTAAGAGTTATGTCCGGCCGGAACTCAGCTGTTCTGCTCTCCCCATCCTCTTCCACTGCAGCCTCCTCTGGTCCGAAAGTGACTTTCGTCACATCGACCTCAGGATTCTGGGCCTTCACCTTCTTCCGGCAGTCTTTGAATGCCATCACCAGTGTAGGCATGAGGAAGAGGTCCACAATCTCTGAAAACGTCTCCGAATTGACAAACTCAGAGACATGCTTCTCAACCGAGTTATGCACCTCCATCTCGGTTCTCTTCTGCACCTCAGCCAATTCCCCTTGCGCCTTAGCCAGCTCTTCCTCGGCTCTTCTCCTCTTCTCCACCTTAGCATCGATGGCTGCCTTGGCAGAAACCAACTCCTCCCTGACTTTCTCGAGCTCCGAAGTCAGGTCATTAAAGTTCTGCTCAGCCGACTGCTTCTGCAAGTTGAGCTCGTCATATTTGTCGACGAGGTTATTCCTCTCCTTGAGGCAGTCGTAGTACTCAGCCGCCAAGGCATTGATGAGATTCACCGTCTGCACAAGAACCCAATGTTAAAACACAAAGTAGATGAATCAGAAATAAAATCCTGCAATTCGAGTTCCCACCTCGAGCGCATGGCGCACTACTCCTGAGCCCCCATGCTCCTCGACCTTATGCCGGGCTCTATTGAGATCAACCTCAGGAAAAGTGGACCTGATGAAGCGCTTGGCAGCCGTCTTGCTTGTACTTTCGTAAAAGCTTGACTTCTGCCTAGGAATAGAGGACTCCTTCCCCTTCCCATGCCCCACCATCCCCACTTCGCGTAGAGCAGGGTCAATCTGCACCGGCGAAGGTCGAGGTACGAACTCAATCAGCGCATCGGTTTGGGGATGCTGCACCTCCTTCACCCTCTTCCTCTTCTGGGTTGCAGCCTTCTCAGCCCTCTTCCTCCCCTGATCTGAGCTAGGGCCCACCTCAGCTCGGGCGCTCCCCTCCGGGCGAGACCTCGAAGTCCCACCAAGCACCCTCTCCCCCACTGAGGGTGCGGCCGGAGTTTTCGACCTCTTCTCCGGCAGTGCTACCGTCTTCCTCTTGGACATCAGCCGGTTCATCTTTTCTGCAAAATAAAAAACAGAGGTCAGTTAACTATCTATTTTAAACGCGCCTGAAAATAGCTAACTGACCTCCAGTCATAGAGCTCGGCCCATAGATTTCTGCCGCCTCTAACATTGCTGGACTGCTGAAATGCATGATGTCCATTACGTCCCCACCTCTCCTCTCCAACCTCTCCACCTCCTCCTGCTCTCCCGAGCTCAATGAATACTGATTCGGATTCGACCTCTTCCTCTTCCACCTGCTGAGCTCCGTTACCTCCACCTCCGACTTCTCCCACTTCGTGTCATCCACGAAGAAAAACTTATCCTTCCACCCCTTTATAGATGAAGGACCTGCACTGAACAGCTTCCTCCTCCTCTAGCCACCCAGGGTGTGAAATAAAACCACCCCCGCTCCCTCTTACTTCCCCCCTTTATCAAGAAAAAATACTTAAAAATATTCATCGTGGGGATTACACCTCGAGTTCGGCAATATACTAAAAATCCTAGGATAAGCCGAACTGCGTTGGGGACGAGCTGCGTCAACCCCAGCCCGTACTCCAGCAGCAGCGCCACTAGCAGCTCGGGCACTGGAAACCTAAGCCCGGCTATTAAGTAGTGCCCGTACACCGGCATCCAATGATCCCTTGGAGCCGAGCACGCCCTTTTCCCTCTCCCTAGCCGGCCTAAGTAGAACATGCCCCGGAATGGCATACTGTTCTACTAGGTGGGCGAGGTCACTCCTACTCTTCCACATACTCTCGTACCCCGCCACCTCTTCCACCACCTCGTCCTCCTCATTATAGAACTTGGCCCTATCCGGATCTACCTCTAATATGTTAGAAGGAATCCCCACCTCTATCATCTCACCTCCAATCCCCCCACTCCTCTCGCTCCTTGAGCTCTCCACCTCATTCTCGTTGGTCAAGCTCAGTCCTTGCTCCCCCTCGCTACCTCCAACACTTAGTGTCTCTTCTGACGACATCTTTCGGGACTCACTACAAGTTGGATGAGAACAGTTAACTTCCTACTTTGATCCCACACCTACCCCTAACGTTCTCTACTGGACTTGTAGATCCAAAATCACTTATATTAAATTCCGAAATCAGAAGTCGAGCTTCAAGAATTACCTGATCTTTCAATGACCGAAGTAAAACACTTGGAAAAGTTTCTGAAATACCGCGAACTCGAACGGCGAGATGATCTCGTTTCACTTCGGCAGCGCTTCGCTATAAAATCAGCAAGGTAAATTCTGAATAGCTCAACCCTGGCTATTTATACTGAAGCTTCCTTGCCTATCAACGGTCACGATCGTCCACATCCGACGGTATCAAACGTGACCTTTTGAATTCGGCAGTTATTCCTGACTGCGCCATTTATTACGGCACGTCACTTGAGGACAGCTGTCCCCCCCGAACTAATTTTTTAATAAATCACGGTTACCCTTTTCGGTTCCATTTCAAAAATCGATCCAAATTCGACCAAACGATATTTTCTACTTCTTCCATCAGCTCGCCCACCCCTGATCTTTACTTCGGCCACGGTAGCAATACATGACCACGTGTCATGATCTTTACTTCGGCCA